TTCCTTATATCAAATACTATACCCCGAAAGGAGGATATAATCTTACTCTATAAGGGTACCATAGTATTCCCAAATAAAGTTGTACTCATGTAGAATCCTCACCCAGTGGATTGAAACACGGCTTAGGGCTTTCTGCACGCGCGGCGCACTGCAGGCGTGGTTTAGGGTTGAGACTTTGGAGTTTGGGGTTTTGTATGGCGGGTAGTTTTCTCATACTGGAAACCTGAACACTGGCACAAAACCTACAAAACGCCATAATGTAGTAGCTTGCATTTTATTTTCCATTATCCCTATATAACCCATCCCCAAATCTCCGGCTGTCAGCTACGAGAACTGATGAGACACCATCCTGAACCTTCCGCTGAATCTTTCACTTTGGTGTGACACGCCCCCGGCGGGCGCCAAGACGTGATCACGTCAGGCAACCGTCGGCTGGGGTGAGAAAAACACGCGGCAGTCTGATCTTCTAATTGGCAGGGGAGATCCTTCTTAGGGTTTAGGGTTTAGGTCTTATGGTTGAGGTTTTAAAGGTTAAGGGTTGCCATCTAGTTCTAATGGGTGTATCTACTTCTCCCTAGCAGGATACAAGGTCCCAGTCGTGTAAGATTTTCATAGTACCACCACTTTGACACTACAAGCGCGAATGTCTATTGTCATGATCAACCGCGGTTTGATGACCAAAACAGTTGCCAGTTGCCTTTCTTTCATGCTTCCGAACCCTGGGGCTCCAGGTCTAGAAGGGTTCCATACATTGGGCCCCAAAGTCTATGGATGTTACCTACTTGTGGCTATTTGGAATTCAGGGTAATGATACCGTGTTCTCCATTGCCTTCCTGCATTGATACCATCGGCAGACTGTCTACGTTACCATTCTGCATCCCAACATCCACTCTCCCCATCTCCCCATACATAGGCACTGTAATCCCTACAGAATCCCTACATTGGCCAAAGCTGGGACCCACGTTTTGTTGTTTAGATTTCATGCTTGCGATCTACAAGGAGCACCCCTGCAGCAGCAGACAGTTAAGCCTGCATCCGACAACAACAGAATTCCAGGCCGAGTCGCTAACGTGCTGAAGTCTTCTTGAATTATCTACAGCTTCTCTGAATGTTGTACCTAGATGCTCCTAAATCTGTAAGCTACTACTTGGACCATCCACGTTCTCCAGCTTCTAACTGGCAAGTCGTGACTTAGAGTTGTCGCTTATTCTTAAGCCGATCTCACTTTAAGGTCAGAAAGTGGGGTCTGCTTGCGCTTATCAGTAGTCTTTATCTTATCATAATGCAGCTTGAGCTTTAGGTGCTTAGCTTGTGGGCACCGTGGGATGAAGCATCGCACAAGAATGTCCTCAGCATGACAATACAGTGTGATGAGCATTGCTCTTCCCATTGCATTCAAAACGCATCCACTGATGTTGAATGTTGTCAATATGTTCGAGTAGACCACCTTTGGAAAGTTCAACATTAGGGTTGCTCTTGTCATGCTTGCTATCTTGCTCCGCTGGCCCTGCTCCTTCGCTCCGTGTTCATCTTACTCTTGAGTGGCTCTTGTAGCTTGCTCGCTGATGTGTGATCTCTCTCTCTCTCTCTCTCAGTTCCTGTGCTAATGCTTTTGCTTCTTCTTCTTCCTCCACCCTCTTGTTCTTGCTCATTCCCTCATCCTCTTTGTACGCGAATGTTTCCATGCATGGAATTACAACTGCCTCTCGACCCAAGCCCGACCCATTCATGCAGAGTGAAAACGCCAGGAGGAAGCTCATCAGTCGTCCAGCTGGCCTTAGATAATACACATTCTTACCTCAATAATGGGTCACTAAGGGATTCTCTATGGAGGGTTCAAAGAACTCAGGAAGTGGGTTCACGTCACTAGCGGCCGCAGGCTTCGTGTGGCAACATGCAAAAGACACATGACTTCCGTACCCATCTCACACCTACAGATAAACGGAAATCAGCTGGAGCAAAGAACCAGGCTGGGCCAGCATTTTTGCAGCCCAGGTGCAAAGGCACGCGACACCACGCTTGATCCAGAACTTTGCGGAATGTTCTCTGGCCTCAGGCCGCAGAGGTGCTTGGTGATTAGGGACCTCCATTATACCATGCGGTGCTCAGGGTTTAGGGTTTAGGGTTTAGGGTTGAGGGTTTAGGATTTAGGGTTTAGGGTACCCTAAACCCTGAACACACTAAAGGACGACCAGACCCTGGCCTAGAGCCATTCTATGTTCTAAGTTTTACACTGGAGGACATATCGAAACCAAAGTCAAGCCTGGACGACCAGACCCTGGCCTGGAGCCATTCTATGTTCTAAGTTTTACACTGGAGGACATATCGAAACCAAAGTCAAGCCTGGACTTCTGCACATGCATTGTGCGCGGATCAGCTGTGAAGTTTCTGTTGGAGTCAGATGGTCCCACTGACCAAGATTATCCAAGGGGTCAAATCCGTGTTTGGACGACAGAAAACCCTATCGCTACCGCCCATGCCAATCTATTCTGCAGGTGAGCCTAGTTTTCAGTTCTAGACAGGCGCGTTGAAGGTCCGCGTGGCTTTCTGGCCCCTGGATTGTCTGCAAGGCTAAGGCTAAGGGTATGCCAAATGCTCATCTCAGATCTCTTGCAGCTTATTCCTCCTCCCTCTGCCGGTAGCTTTCCTCACTGTAACGGACAGCGATGCAACTTCGCAGCCGCGAAAGACAAAGACTGCAGGAATCTGTAGCATGCATATGTGTTGCATGTGTGCATGTACATGCATGCATGTATACATACGTACAACATACACGCAAAAAAACACGTGCATGTATAGGCCGCCCTGTTCTACTAGCACTTATATTGATACACTTTAAGCCAGATTAAGCCCAAACTCCAAAACACCAATCACTGAACTCTGTTCCGCATTCCCTCATTTCCTACTAACAAGAGGCAAGGTATGTAAGCGGCAGGCGATTGGAATCTTGATTGTGCAGACGAAATTTGTGGAGTGGCCCGTTGTGCTGAGCACGCCCTGTGGCTGAGGAAGAGTACCCTAAACCCTAAAGGCTAAATCCTAAACCCTAATCTTGGGTGTTCAGATCTGTGGCATGGGGGTGCACAGCTCTAGGCCAAGGTATTGCCGGATTTTGGCTTGGCCCTAAACTGGGTTGCTGTTAAGGAACTTGAACTAAGTTGGCATATTTTGGTTGTGGTAAATAATAAGTTTCCTAATGAGAATAGCGTAATCTAAGTTGTTTAGCAGCAACCCAGTAAACCCTCAACACTAAACCCTTGGGACCTAGAAATTTCAGATTGGGGCGGAAGGTGTCCAGGGAACTGTGGCCAATGCCTTTAGTCTGGGGCATTCAAGGCGGTAAGGTCCATGTACTCTATATGTTGATACTATGGATTTTGCTACTAGTAACTGTGGTAAAGGTTCGGGGGAAGTATCTGGTTATTGAGTGCTTGGACTCTCCCTTAGGGTATATAGGCCTCATAACCATGAAGCTACAGTTCTAGCTCTGGATGCATAAGCTCACAACAATGTCATGGATCTATAAACTTTGTGGGTAAGCCCTGAACCCGAAAGCCAAGGATGTAGAATTAACGCAGTTGCGTCTGTCCCAGAGACAGGCTAGCTTCAGCTACGCACTCTAGTACATTATAGCAGTGTCCATTTCCTTTTCAATTACCATTACTCTATATTGAGGCACAGTCAATAGTTCCTACATGATTTCACGGACATTTGTTCCTTATTGGGACTATATATATTTGGGACTATACCATCTTCAAGAGGGGACCCTTATGCCCACTGCTGAGGGTCCGTGAAAAAGGCGAATACTGAATGTAGCCCATATAATCGCAACATATCCCCTAAAACTTAGCAGACGTATGGTTGGCAGGCGGTAAGGCAGACAAGCATTCCGCATGCACGCCTGACGACATGTTTGATGTTTGGAGTGTTGTCTATCGTCACAGAGAAGGCTATGCCGTCCAGAATGGACTGCCTGAAACGGCAGCCTAGTTACCTAGTTGGCCTGACATGTTCCTCGCCAGATCCTTGTCAACTTCAACACTGCAGCCACCGTCTTCGGCGTACACCAAAAATGACTTTACGACACTCCCCCCCGCCTTTCTCTCCGAGGTCTTGTAGATTGGTGATGGATACACCCGGCTTGGATCCGTTGGGTCCTGAACAGGCCGAAAGGAAGCAGTTTTTCGAACACTGAGTTAAGGTAGCGTCGTGTCTAGTTGCAGCAATGGCGATTGAGAGGCTTGAACTTCTCCCTGATTAGCAAAGAATGAGGGGATGGATCCTTGTATTCATCCCTATACCACGCTCCCAAAATAACACTGGAATTTCCATTTTCCGTTCCTTCATTCCTTGCTACCCAGACGAAAGTGATTGCAAGCCTCACGGCATGAAAGCAGAGGTTGTGCTAGCTAATTTGGGCAGCACTCCGGATGCGTACTCAAATGTACCTTGGGCTTTGCCCCGACAAAGGGATAGCGGAATAGACGGAAATATATAGGGACCCTGAACAATTACTGTTATCCTTTCGTGGGTTGGGCTCAAACCTGAGATGTACCCGGGCCTAGCAAGCACGCACTACCTGCACTGTAAAACGCTCTCTCTTCGATTATTGCCTGGGAAAATACCAATATAAGCCACATATTCCCCCAGTCTCCCTTGCATTTCCTAATTTCCTTTCCTGCTGGACTATTCATTATACCCATAGCCCTGTCACGACACGTCACATACATGTTGACCATTCTTGATGCTCTCTCGAAGGCAAGTTGGAGTGGCAAACCGTCATTAGTGAATTTTTGTCGAGGCACCCAACAATTTGGGATTATAACTGTTCACTTCTAGCCATACTTCAGGATTCCCACATAGACGCTCTTGCGATGCTGTTGCAAATTGAAAGACTTCTTATCTCAGACTTCAGGCCCCACGGAACATGGCCAAGGACGAACCAGCGAATCCTGATCCCAAAGCAACCAGACAAGCACATCCAGCATCAACATGTGGTCCTTATCCTTCTCACACGGTTTCCAGTGCATGTGCGGAATCTCCGAGAAAAGAACCTGTCCAGAATTGGCACGTGAACGCCCGGGCGTTTGCTTCATTTGTTCAAGCTTATGCGGACAAGCCTTTAGGCGCAAGGCCATGAGTAGGTTTAAGGCTTAGGCCTCAGGGTTTAGGGTATGATAGGTGGCACTTCAGCTTGGAACATTTTCGCTTCACAGTTTTAGGCGGGGCGATTCGCTTTGTATGAAAGTCTCCAATTTTGTGGCCACTTGCGAGGAGGCGGCAAATGTAAAAGAATGCCGGGTGGAGAGCATGGGCTCACTCAGGGTTTATAAGGTACGGTTAAGGGTTAAGGGTTTAGGGCATGCATAACTCCTACATCCTAATGCGCCCTAGACACAAAGAATGTAATCGTTTCCAAGTTCTCTACATGCATGGTAGCTCTCAGACCATCACCCCAAGTACTAACCTAGACTTTGCAAATGCATATCGAAAAGAAGATTCTAGACCTCGAAGTACAGGGCATATGGAAAATTAATATTGGCATTTGGGGATCTAAAAAATTGATAGGATTTTCGTAACCCAACGCCGAAATTGGGACCCTGGGACTATAATAGAGTTCCAACCCCTAGGGCTGTGGCTACCAACGGCTGTGGCTACCAACATCCTCTTATTGCCTACCCTCAATGCCCATATACCCCATGAAACTCCCTGTTTCCACATATATACATATCTATATATATATATACATATATATAGGTTTGCGCACGTCCAGTCTACATTCCTTTTGCCTCTCCACTATACCCCTATGTCATCGCTGGAGAAATTGTGGAAAAGTTCCCCGGCCTTGGGAAGGCTGTCCTGAATGACCTGATGGTCATTGTCCCATCTTGCACCATCCATGAAGAGGCCATAGACCACACAGCCATCCTCCAACCAGTGTTTAGTGCTTAGGGATTTAGGGTTTAGGCATTTAGGGTTTAGGGTTTAGTTTCTTTTTTCCCCCCCCCCCCGGACCTTTTTCCTGCAAGGAAGTTTAGGATTTAGGGTTTAGAGTTTAGGGTTCAGGGTTTAGGTGGATCAAGGTCCAAGGATTCTAATAGAAGGCTCATGGGACTGTGCAAGTACTTCTAGATTGGTTTCAAGTCTGTGTATACTTCCCAAAGCTACTCTATGCGGCATATCCTGATGGCCGAATATGTAGGATTATAACCCCGGTTCTAAGTAGCTACTTAGCCCCATGATCCTCCAAGTAGGGTCTGGAGTTTAGTCCTACTCAAAGGTCCATGTACCTTTATCATATGTACTTACGCCCCCAAGTGCATAACTAGGGAATCCCTTCTAGGGTAGGTTCCCAGGCCCTAAAGAAATCATGTTTTTGATGGCTGTATAGGATCCTTCAGGGATCAAGGGTAGCAAAAAGTAGCATTTTCAACCCTACCCCAGATTTGGCCCCATATACAAGGGAAGGTACCTGGACCCTTTGGGTAAGAGCGCAGGAAGCCCCTAACTCTAAACATAGTTCACTGGTTCTTAGTCAGGCATAGGGGAATATAATCCCTATATGATACCCATATAGAAATATTGCAATCCCATGCCCGATAATAAGCTATGTTGGGGCACATAAACTCACTTGAGCGATAAATGCAGAGGCTCAGTGATGCCAGGTGTACCTGAACATCTGCACTACCTACAGCCATGTGGGTCAGCATCAATACCTACTACTAAGTAAGGGATGCTCAGTACTTACCTACAGCTACAGGGGCTTACAGGTAATGCTGACTTCAGAAGTCGCACTACATGTCCTAAGCTCAGCGGGGATCTAACAAGGGATTAAAATAGCTCCCATTTGGGATGCACACATGTTGTTGGCCACTTATTGGGCCGCAGCATACAAAGCATAGACCCACTGCATGCTTCATGAAGGCTTGCTTCTGGTGTCGAGGGCGTACTTTAAGGAACCTCGAAGCCGAGCAATGTACTGTACCCTGATGTAAGACCCACAGTAACCTAATATCACTCGTATATTATAGTATATTGTAGTAGATTAAAGCGTATATTGTAGTATATTGCAGTAAACTATAGTATGTTATAATATGATCTACGGAGGCTTATGCTTTCGGGCAGGGATTAGGTGCCAAATTCTTGAGAAACTCACAAGTCATGCTAAAAGTACTTGCAGATTGCAGTGCAGTACCGTCTGGGCCTCTGGGGCAGGCTGAGAAAAGCACATCCTACTTCCCAAGTTTCGGGCCGGTCTGTCGTGATCGCTGAAGTACCTCGGCCCTATATGCTTGGGTTGCCTGCACATATTGAATCCTTGGCTTCCAGAAGCCGTGAAATGTGGCCTCAAGATATGTCCTAAACTTGAGAGGCGGAGAGAGATCCAAGGTTTAAGACTTGGGGAGGCTCCATAAACAGGGGGGGGGCCTAATGCAGACCCCCACAGACTGTAATCCTTATTGTCGGACCCGGCCCTGAAATTGAAAAATCCACATATAATGTCGGAAAAAGTGTTTGGTGGCCCCTGCTTTCGAATTACATTTTAATATTAAGAATGACAACATCCTTCTTGTGCTCCTCAAGAATAAGTTGGCTTGGGGGTTCAGGTATTCATGTTCAAGAAAGGGAGTTTCCCAAAATTAGTGGTACCTTTTTGGGGGTCCCCATAACAAGGACTATAATATATCAGGGTCTATATTGGGGTCCCCTTTTTTTGGGAAACTACCAATAAGGTTTAGTGTTCAGGAAACCAAAGACCAAAACAGCCTTCTTAAGGCCCAAGACCAGGCATGCCACCAGGCGTTGTCGCCTGAAATTCTTTTTTTCTGCTTTAGAGTGAAAGCATGTCCAAAGATGACCCAAGAGAGCGCTTCAAAGGCCTGCCTCTCACCTAGACGCCCCATCTACCCTATATATATATATACATATACATATATATATATATGTACACACACCTTCAATACCAACTATTAGGGACCATATACCCCTAGTTGAAGGCACAAGGAGGGCCCTCTTAGAGATCCCTAAGCAACCCAGGGCGACTGCAGGCCTCTGGCTTTGGCGGATGATTGTTCTCCTCGCCAGACCAAGATTTAGAGGTAAGGGTTTAAGGTTTAAGGTTTAGGGTTTGGGGTTTAGTTTTCCTGGACAGTTGGTTTTCATATATGTGTGGAGGTTCTCCGCAGCTTGGTTCTCCTGCAATGTCTCTTGCAACGCATTTAAATCTACGCCTAACAGCATGCGAACCATGTTCATGCCTATGACGATTCGACCATTGAGCATGTCTAGCTTTGTCAGAGATCATCTGGAAGCTCCAGGCATACTGACGCAGCGTTACATCGAATCCTGCATTGTATTGCCACGGGCACAAGATAGTGCACGTGGCATGAGGAATGAAGAGTTGCAGAACAGGTACCATCGTGAGCTTTGAGATGATTTGCGGGACTCATGCCTCCTCCCCTTCTGGGTAGCAAGGAGAAACGGGCTTGCGCCTTCAGGATGTTCCTTCCCGCAGACTGGCATGGAACCTGAAGGTGGGCCCGCTGTAGACAGTCTGCATGGGATTCTATGTTCGCTAGGAGGAAGTTCGCTAAGTTGGACCGAGTCATCGCCCGAAGTCAGAAAGTCTCCTTCTTGAGAATGTCGAACGTCCATATCAGGGTGTCAATGGGCAAGTTGTTCTTTCGAGCCTGAGTGCAAACTAGCAACTCAGGGACGCATGTAACTAGGGGCACTTAAATACAGCAAGAAGAGTCCCTACTTGAGTCTAAATGCTTCCGAGTTCCCCTGAGCGAAGGACTCAAGACTTGTTGTAAGTTGAAAGCTCTTGACTCTAAGCCTAGGGCTCCCAATACCCCAAAGTGGATGTGTATGGACTTTAGGGCCAAGGCCACGAGGATGGAATATATTTTCTGGGCTTGTAAGCCCCAGGTTAAAAAGCTATCTGCGGCTGGTGGTGGCTCCTTCTACAGCATTCTTTGTTCCAAACGTTGGAAGTCAGCAGGTTGATATGGTCAGAAATGCCGACAGACTTACTGACAGCTTCCAGCATCGTAGATTGATTCTTCTGTCCGTGTTTCATGTTGCCTCCTAAACCTGGAGAACTTGCACTATGGGGTACCCGTACCAATCCATACCACAGGACTCTGGTCCTGCAGCATGAACCTTTCCGGACGCTGAGCTGATTTAGGAAGCTTGGTGGTTGACGTGAAAGGCAAAGGCCGAGTATGGTTAGCAAACATGCTCATGATTAGCTTGCTGGGAACCCACTCATAGACCCTTTAGCCCTGAACTCTCGCAGCCCTGAATTGAACAACATTGCATTCGACGTGGCATTCGACAGGGTTTCATGTTTCCGTCATGCAGCAACATGAAGAACTCTGCCCCCAACTAACGTGGGAACCCATGCAAGATCCTCACAAACGGACAGCAGTCTTTGTAGGGCCCATTGGGCTTCCGTGCTAGTTTGACGGAGGGCATTCGCGCTAGCATTGAGGCTCCCGGCAAACCAACAGACAATTGGCAATGACCCGCAAACCAGTACGAAAACCAAGGGCAAGACGAGCAATAAACTTTGGGCACGGCAGTTCGGAAGCCAAAGTTGCAGCATTCATGCAACAATCTGCTCCTGCCCCACACCTACTCTGCCAGTGCAGCCTGGCCGCAAAATTCTGCAGCTGCCCGGTCAGGAAGGACTGCGTGAAGAAGAAGCCGGAGAGCCAGTAGTTGGCCGGATGACCGTTGTCCATCCTTGCGAAGCACATCATCTAAGAAGATGCCAAATGCTCACCCTGTAGCAGGAACGTCCAAACGCTTCTGTGTAGGTCTCAAGTAACTTTGCTTGCAAGTTGGAAGGAAGGAAGGGATGGACAAGTAACTCGATAATGGAATCCTATTGGTGATTCTATAATGACTACTGTAGGGGTTCATTCTTCCCCTCACACTACCAAGCAAGAACTTTGGAGCAGTCTCCGCAATCATAGAAAGAGAGCATGCACTTCTTGCAGATTTGTTTCCAGTCCGTGAAGAAGTTCATCCTTGCCACAAGGTCCGCCACATAGGAGGACATAGGCTTCAGCGAGGGATATGAAACCTGAGTTGCTTGGTGGGAGGGTTCGGTTTAGGGTTTAGGGTTTAGGTTCGGGGCTGAGTACGGGACATAGGGCCCAAGGCCCTTAGTCTTGAAGCCAGCCCCCTAGATTTCCACTTCTATCTTGCAGGCTTAACTCCCCAAACCCACGAATACTAAGGATCCCGCACTATTCTGTACTTTGACGGCTCTTCGTTGAGTTGTACACGAAAGCTGAACCCCCCCAAGCTACAAAATTATCCCAATATTACCCTATATGATCCCTACATTATCCATATATTATCCGAATATAGCCCTATATGACGCCATATTATCTTTATATTACCGCCAAGATTGGCCCAGAAGCTTTCTTCCAGAAGTCGGGCCTGAGATCGCAGGGATTTGTCTGGGCTGAACATGTCGCCGCGATGACTACAGCTTTGTAGGAACTATATACTGGGGATACTTTGGAATAATGCAGAGCATTGACAGTACTATTTAGGGTATAGGTTTAGACCTACAGTTTTATGGTTGAAAATGTGATCCAGAACTGAAGGCAGCCTCAGATACAGGAAGGGTCTGATGAGCATGCTTGCTTTCTGGGGGTTTGTAGAAAGAGAGGAATACATTGTGTAGGGGTTCTACAGGGATGATATTACCTTATTCCTTACTACCCCCCCTTAGTAAGCTTGTTTTTATTGAGTTGCAAGTCGTATTGTACGCAGGACTACCGCGGGAACATGCAAGGCATGAACACTGGCCTGTCGTGTTTATGGTGTGAGGCCTTTTGGTTCCAGGGGTCTATGAGCCCCACTGGCTGTACAGGAACTGGACGTAGTCAGGAATTTCAAGTAGCTGAAAACTGCGAACCTAGGTACGAAACAACCCAAGTTATATCCATGAACTATCCTTTAGTCTCTTCTAACTACTATGATGAACAAAATTGGTAATTCGTAATCTATATCTACGTGGCTGCGATGCTTTAAAACTATGACTATGGTGTACTCTAAATGAAGCCGTCCGTCGTTATTGATGTATTTGGATTCCTACTTACAGGGTGTTGTGCAGTTCTGAATCATTGATATCCTTAGAACTAGTGTTGACGGGGTCCCAGTCTGGGAGATCTGGTACCCCTAGGGACCCTTGGGGTTAGAAAAGTATCATGACAGTCCCCCTGAAGACGCACGACCTCGTAGACACCTTAGGAATTACTCTCATACACTGGCTGAGGGTTATGCAGGACTTTTGGTGCATCACGAAACCATTTGATTTGCTTCGTAGTGGCTGCTTGTTCAGCAGGATGCCGTTGGCAACATCCTCAAGGTCCTGCTCAGAAATATGGAGCGTGTGTCGGACATGCCAGTGCTTCTACTCCAACTTGCGCCGATGACAATGTTCCAATTCATGAGATGCACAGACCATCTAAAAGGTGTTTCACCAAGCACTTATGGAGACTTGGGCCTCTTTCCTGTGTTTATTTCGGTTTTGCAGCCCTAAGAGAATCTAAATCATGCTCTGTCAGTCGACCCCAAGAGCCCTCACAAACAAGGAAGCCTTAAAAAGCGGCCCAATGTCTGATTTGCTGCGCCCACTTGTTTGGGGGAGGGCCGTAGAGCTCGAGGTGCAACAGCAAGAGTAGCAGCCAACATGCATTCAAAAGGCGCTCGCAAACTTCCGAATTTCTGCTGCAGGGTTGTTGAGGGTGTGCCGAACACAACATGCAGCTCTCCAAAAGTAGAGGGAAGAGCTAAAGCTTTGAAATTCAGGCTCATGGAGGGAAAATACTTAATCGTAGACCCTTCGAGAAGTTGAACCAGCAGGACTGGCAGCCTAGAGCTATAATCAGGATGTCACCTTTGCTACTCAGGTTGCTCCTAAGGCACCGTTCCCTTGATAAATTAAAATCAGGAAAACCAGCTAGAAAAGAACATGGAAGATGAAATGGAATTAGATGCATGTAAGGGCATGTCGAGATTGTATTTGTTGGATGAGAAGAGGATGGTATCTAAACCTTCTCTGACTAGCCTTTTGTTGTCTATCCCCCACAGCTACACACCATTTAACGGACCAAGCGTTTCCCTGCAGTGGCCCCTCTCGTGACAATCCAGGTCTCTCAAATAACAAAGGTATCCTGTTGACCCTAACCCCAAACCGTAAGGACCCTATAACTTCTACATGACTCGTATAGGGCCCTTGTCATGCGGGTTGGGGTTAGTACGCTCCACTTTTTTGTCAAGCCCTCTGCCCTTTTTTATCCGGGCTCTGCTCGTTTGCCCTAAACCCGAAACCCGCGCCCTTAACCCTATACACCCTGAACCCAAGTAGCTTAGCCGAGGCACTGGGCCCATGATCACCAGGCCTTTGACGGCTTTGCCTAGCTCAAGGGAAGGATTTAGGGCTTTTCCAAAATGATGGGTGCTTTGGGGGTCCCCATAAAACGGATTGTAATATTTTGGGGTTTACATTGGGGCCTTCACTACAAACCTAAACGCAAAACCTGTAACGAGTACCGTTTCTAGGGGCCCACGGATCGAGCAATGTGGGTAGGCTGATGGCGGCATCTTGGCCAAACGTGCCAGCGAAGTGTAGAGACAAAACACAAGCCTGGACCTCATGAAAACGTCAACGCTTTGCTGGGTTGCGGTTAAGGAACTGAAACTTACTTGCCATGGTATGGTTTATAGTAGTAGATAATTGGGTTTCTTATTATAATAACTTCGTTTAAGTTCCTTGCCTTAAGAGCAAACCAGTTTAGGTCGTAACGCAGGTCTATCTCAGGGTCAGTTGCCGACTGTTCACGCGCTGACGCGTGATGTGGGGAAACACCAGCTATGAATGTGCAAGGACCCAATCACATCGATTCTGGCCATGAAGCACATTGAAGGCAGAGTAATCACACCGGCTTCCCATGATGAAAACGGAATATCACCCCTCTTTGCGCAGGAGGCTATTTCGCCTGCCCCTAACATCAAACTGACGAAGCATCCCCGTCAAATCGTAAATGTTCCAAGTACATGTCCACGACGTACTAGAGAAAGATGTCTTTCATGCCCAGTTGCCGATGTCTACGAGACTTGCACGCACGCGGATGAGCAGTTTGTTGAAGCGAAGCGCTTCCTGATTCACCACAGTATTCCTTGGCATCTGCAGTCCACATACCTTAAACACAGTATGGACGTTTCCACAAATTGAGGGTCACCCAGATTGCATGGTCCCTTAGAAATTAGAAATAGATGTCAAGGGGGCTCGGCTTGGCACCAGGCCCTTCAGTCAATAAACTTTCGAGGTTGAGATTTACCTGGATCCCAAAAGTATGTAAAACAATGGACCTTATGGCTGTTTTTCTGGTTTAGGGCTATTTTTTTACGGACTTTTGGGGTTTAGGTAGGGATTCAAATGATTAGGGTTCAGGATGCAAGCTACGGCAGGATTTCGAGAACTGGCTAGGTCACGCTTGGGAGCATTCGCCATACAGGACTCCTGAATACAGAGGTCCCAACTCGTCTTAGCCCTGCGCCCAGCCACACCCTGAGCCTTCACCCTATAAATCCTAAATCCTTACTCAAGCCCCGTGGAATTCTGATTGTGCGGAAAATTGCACTTGAAAGTTTGAGAACTGAAAGCTGTAGAGCATGGCAGGATCTTGGACAATGCCCCCTGTAGAGGATGGCTGTCTACACATATAGTCCCCCTTAAGTAGATAGAATATGGCTTTGGGTATATCATAATAAGATCCCCATATACCCCATATTCTATCTACTCAAGGGGGGCTATATGTAGATGAAAAAATATGTATATATATATATATATGTCAAGTATGGCAAGGATTGGGGTGCAAAATCCCGCGTGTCTGTGAGCATTTGCAGGCTTTGAGATACACGGTGTGCAAGCCCGGCTTGACTGATCAACCTTAACACGTACTTAAGGGATCAGAAAGACTTAGTAAGTATGCTTGCACGTCCTCTATAGCATAAGGCTTAGTAGCTGTACTTGCACTTCCTCTCTAGCATATTGTAACACCACTTAACCCCAATATGAACCTACTATAACCTACTTAAGAAGTCCCATTGACCCTCCAAGTAAGCCTCATGAGAAGACCACATACCATACCCTAAGAGTCCAAGTACCTGTACTTAGGGCCCAAAGTACCTATGTAGGAACCCATTTCCGCACAAAACATTATCTAGTATTTGAAGACTTGGACCCTGAGGGATAACCATCCAAAGCACTGGAAGAAGCTCATGCCTACTGTTTGGCCTCTAGGGGACTGTTGGCGTATGGAGGCTGAACCCAGCCCCAACACCCAATTTGCTGAAGTATGATGTCTATCATTGACGGCCCGCTCTAAACCGTAAAAAACTGCTGGCAAGGGTTTAGGGTCTGGGGAGGTCAAAAAGCCAAGCCTGTTGTGAAGAAAAAGCTTCCTGAATTGTAGAGCCCGAGTTTGGCAAAGCAAGGTTTCTCTGAACTTACAAGATTACCCACGAAGCCTACCTACATACATGGGGGTTTCCCAAAATTAGGGGTACCATTTTTGGGGTCCCAATAATAAGGATTGTAGTATTTTGGGGTCTATATTGGGGTTCCCTCATTTTGGGAAACTACCACATAGTTCTGTAAGGGGACTCCGCTAATCTCCATGTCATCCCTTTATCCCTAGGTTCCGGATTGGATTTTTGTTGACAAAGATACATGGACTCGTTGTAGTCGGTGGGGTACTTTGCCACCAACCATTCCGTGTCAAAGGGCACACCTCGGAAATTGTTCGAGGTTCTTACTTTTCCTAGGGCTTTTAAGGCTTCGATGGGTTGTAGGGTGTACGTGCTAGGGGTTTGGAGTTTATAGGGCATAAAACAACTTCAGCTGCGTCTGAGCATTTCAGGTCACGGAAAATCGGAAGGCATGTTCAGACAAACTCCTAAAGCCCTGAACCCTACAAAGTTTAGGGTTTAGGTCCTACTTAGACCCTAAAACCTACGCACCCTAAACCAGCGCAAGTTTCCGAACCTTAGGTCTGACTTGGTCTGGTTGTTCAAGTTCTGGTGACTGCAGGGTTTACCTGGGACCGTGATGCCCTCCCTCTCCCAAACCCGCAAGTCAAGCACTTACTAGGCACTGTATCCCACAGGGTCCATGTAGGTATGTAGTATATACCTTTGCCCCGAAGTAGTTACACGGGAATCCGCTTGTGGGCCTTGAATATCCACTATAAACCCACAAGGACCCCTGGGGCATGCACTGAAGTGGCCCTGAAGACAAATTACGTGAATCCTTGCCTCTTTGGGAATACACGCTAAACATTCCTTACAAGGGATATCGCGTGAGGCTTGTTTTGCACCATGCTTGAAATTGGCCTTCGTAGTGTTGCCATAAGCCCCGCAAAAAAATGGTAAAGTCATACTGTTGATGGAGGAAATCTTGCACCACTTAGGACGCCTGAAGTGCTGTAATTCTAAGAACATTGGGGGACTTAAGGTGGTGCACGATTTCTTCCATCAACACTAGTTCCAGCCCCTCGCCAACCCTCAGAACTCCGAAATCCTGACCAAAGCGGAGGGCTGTTGCTGCAACCCCGAGGGTCCATGGACCCAATCGTTGGGGACTTCAGCTTGGGGTGCTAATGCTTGTAGTACACGTTTTGGGGCAAGTATATCATTACTGGGTACTTGGACTGCTTGGGTTTAAGGTCCGTGAAAAGAACAGAAAACAAAGACCTCAGAATCCGGAGGATCCTAGGGCTCCAAAGATAATGGGGGAGGATTTCAGGGGTCACCTTTTCAGAAGTCATGTGGGGTTTCCCAAAACAGGGATGCTACGGAGCTGTGTGTTGAATAGCAGGTGATTACAGCATATGATTCCAATTTGCAAGGATCTTAGAGCAGTGATGTTGAGAACATGTGTTACACATTTTGCTGAGGAAACCCAATTTTACATGGCAGCGCTTACAGTCGAGCAGCGAATCTCCGTCAGGAACTTCGACGAGAGCTCCGTCAGAATTTGATCCTCAGACCAGCGAGTTTCGAACTTCCACAAGTGGCCACAAAGGAGAGACAAGTATGATACCACAGGGCTCCAAAGATCCGAACGGAGGCATTGTTTTGATTGTAATGCCCAAGGGAAGCCTAATCCTGAACCTGAAACAATCACAGACGTGAGGCTCCAAAAAGTGCCAAAATACTATTGCTATTTCTATTACTCGTATTGCTATGAGGTGTATTGAGGCTGCGCAGCCAGGAATAGCTTGGAGCCAACAGTGAGTTGAGCTTAAAACTGGCGAACGCGCAGCACGCAGCACGCGTGGCACAAGCTGATCAGCTCTCCACCCACAACCTTGTATGTAGTTTCTTTTGGGCCTGGGGCTATTTTCTCGTTGTCGTATTGACATGGGATTGCATTCAGAAATGTGTTGATGACCATGTCATAGAATAGGGCACGCTGTGAGGAACACTCTGTCAACCTTGCCAGCCATGATCTTGACTGCGCGGCACGCCCTACCTTGGCCCTAACATGGTAGTTTCTGAAAATAAGGGATCCCAATATAAACCCCAAAATCTGATGGGGACCCCGTAAAGGACCCCTAAAAGGTACCCCTACTTCTGGGCAACCTCTGCATGTGTAGAGCTACTGGAGCCGGGCCCCCTTACACCACGCAGGGCACTCATCAGTGAACCATGAAAATTCGCCCAAAAAAGTCTACACAGACACAGAGGCCGAAGATAGGTAGCATTGATAGGCGTTGAGTCCCGGGGTACCTAAAACCCTAAACCCCAAACCATTCTGATCCAAGGTGCCGGAGTTTTCGCGCCGCCATCGCCACCCCCACCCTTTGGCAGCATGGAGTTGGCTGTCGCGAGAATCTCAGTAGCAAGAGAGCCTAATAGGGTTTAGGGTTTAGGGCCTAGAAGTTTCAAGCTTGTACCCCAGATCTAATAGGTTGTCAAATTAATGGTCCCTTTCTGGCATCCCCACTAGACTATGGCCCTTCAATTTGTGCACACAAAACAGGGACCATGATTTTGATAACCCGCAATGTCATACCCACCACTGGGGTAGTGGTTTGTAGCTAGGCCTAGATGATGCTTGGCTGTAGTATCATGTACGTACGAGTTAGCTTGCAATTTTTTAGGGGGAATAAGGGCTACCAAGCTGTAGGCATAAGGTTTCTAGTTTCTGGATTGGGAGGAATTAGCGCGTCTGGGTACTAGGGTGTTAGGCTTCGCTGTATAGTGTATAGCGTTCAGTCTTGCTGTATCTGACGGGTTCTGAAGGCTGATAGGCTCCAGAAATTTTGGGCGTGTAGGCCTCGGGGTCAAAAAGCTTTGGCATCGTGCCCCATGTACAAAGCCCCCCGGCGTTGAAAGCCATGCGTTCAGAAATGGCAAAGAAGGGGGGAACACGCCCTACCTCTCGAACTACATAAGTCCTTCAAGCACGAAAACGTTGTGATGCCTCAACCCAAAGCTCGAACCCTGTTCTGTCTGGACATCTGCGAAATTAGCCTCCATAGACATTTTGGGTCTAGGGCTTCGCAAATTCTTGCCTCGTCATCCGAAATCCGCACCCTGGATCTTCAAACTTTCCGGAACTAAATGTACAAGACCTTAATCTTGTGTCGAATCCTAAGCCCCGACTCCAAAGCCAAGAAGCCTTAAACCCTGAGCCATACACAAGCCGTCAGCTCGTCGTCACCGTCGGCCCCAAATACAAAGTCCTAAGCCCTAAACTCCTAAAATCTGCGACCCTAAGCCCCAAACCCTAAACCCTAATTCATGCAAGTTGCGCCCAAGCCCTCCTTGATGGCTGCTGAAAGGTTGGCGTTGGCGTGAAGGCCAAAGGCCTTCAGGGTTCAGGGTTAGGATACCTTGAAGGTTTCGGGTGTCTGTAACTAAGGGCTTCTATGTAGTTTTTTGGGGATGAAGAGGGCAACAGGACAGGTATATGCTCAGGGTACGGGATTCAGTGCCCTTTCTCCGTAAAGCACTTATTAGCTCTGTAGCTGGTGCTTTGGATTTGTCATTCTCAGGAAAGGATAAACGCTGAGGTGGGCAGTGCGTTTTTCATGATCGGCCCATTCAAGCACAAAACTCTGCCTAAAATTCCGGAACCAATAGGAGAGTACCAGTTTACCCTATATTGGACGAAAT